TTGTGCTGCCTGGGCTCCTCATCTAAAATTCCTCCAATCTCACACCACCCTGTGGGTTGAGTTTTGGTGTTGTGATTTGGGAACACCCACGTGTTCCCATACCCTGCGGTATTTTGTTTTGGATTTAGCGCCCCCGGGGATCCTGGAATTGCTTTTTTACTGTTACGCTGCCGAATGTAAAGAATAAATTCTCCTTACACTTCTTTGTGAGAAAGTCCATGCTCTGTGCTGCCCACCCTCCCTGTCCAGCAGGTGAAACAGGGGTGGACAGCTTTGGTCTCATGGATGTGGGGGCTGTCTCTGGGTGTTGGGGTCTCACAGAACTGCTCCTGAGAGAGAGAGAGAGAGAGTTGCTGTAGCAGGAAATGCTCTGTCCCACTGGTGGGAGCAGGGATGCTCTGAGTTGTCCTCCCTGAGGATTGCAGTGACCTTGCTGTTCAGGGCTTTTCTGAGCTGCTGCTGTTGCTTTGTTACCCTCACCTGCTCACTGAGTAGTATGACATGGGGGGAAACCACTTTTAGGGAACGTGGATTTGTAAGTCAAGGCTTGGTGCTGTCTGATTTGGGTGCTGAAAACAACCACTGAGTTAGGAGCTGCTCCTCCATTGGCATCCAGAGGCTCTGGAAGATGTAGACAGAAATAATTTGCTTTCATTTCCTTCTGGATATGTCACTTATTCCCAAGAGTAGCATGTATTAGAGACAGTCAGGAAGCAGCTGTTTGGATTCAGCTGCAGAAGTTAATTTTCCCCTGTGAATGTGGCTTTCACCTGCCTGGTGCAGTTACTCAGGGGGTTGTTGTGAAACTCTTGGGCTGGGGGGAGTCTGTTCCCACATACACATGTACACACTTATGTAATGACACTGCCAGGACTGTGCAAGAATTCACAACCTGAGTGTGGATCCCCAGCATCAAAGTCCTGTACCTTGGCTTTGAGACATCATTTCTGCTCATCACTGCTTTGTGTGTTCCCAAGGGGTGGATTTAATGCATTTGGCTACTGGTAGGTGCCAGCTGATGAGTGAGCAAGGATTCCTGTGGGGAACAGAACTGTTCCTGGAGCATAAAACGTGGTTGCTGTTGTCTCATTCTCCCAAGAGAGTTTTCATGCAGCTCTCTGTGTGCTTAGGCTGAACCATCCCAACGTGGTCAGAGCCTGTGAGGTTCCTGAGGAGATGAACTTCCTGGTGAATGATGTTCCTCTCCTGGCCATGGAGTACTGCTCAGGGGGTGACCTCCGCAAGGTAACGCCTGCTTTGCTTCCAGTAAAGCCAAACAACCCAAGCTGGGCCTGTCAGTGCTGCTCCTTCACCAGGGCTGCTCTGGGGAGCTTCTCTCTTTGGGTATGGTGCCTTGAGAAGGCTGAGCTAGAACAGAGGCCAGACAGAGTTAAAGAATAAAGCAGGGATTTATTAAAAGGATCTCCTCCATGGATCCACCTTGGGCAGCACAAGAGCCCAGCCAGGGCTTCACCCAAAGTGAACCAAAATGGGCACAAAATGAATGCCTGGTCATGGGGTCTGTCGCTTTATAAGTTCTGGAGTTAACTGTCCAATTCCAACTTTATGTTATGAAGTCCCATCCTGTTTGTCTTTCTCTCTTCAGCCCACTTTATTTATGCTCTTGAGCCTGAAATTTGGATCATTTGTCCTTGGTGCCCAGCTGGAGCAGGAATTGTTTTGTCTCCCTGCTCTGTGCACAGAGCTCACCATCCCTTAATGTGAAGCTCAGACCCACACACTAAAACAGCACAGAATCTGAAAAATATAAAAGCTAAACCTGAGGCATCAGGTACAGGTGTGAGGAAGTTAATGTAGAGTGGGAAAAAAAACCACATGTGGGAAACAAGGCTTGTGTTTCTGAAACCAGAGGGCAAGCCAAGGGCAGATACCCTTTTATCCTGGTGTGTCCTTTCATGGGGCTGCTTTAGCATTAGTGCAGCTGCTGTCACCCAGCAGGTTTGGCTTTGCTGCTGTGTCTCCATCTGTTCAGTCTGACTGGTTTGGATTCATTTGTATCTGGTGTTACCTTGCTCTCAGCACAGGCTGTGATCCTGTTTCTGCTGGGCTGGGGGCCTCCAGGGATTCTGAAGCTTTGCTATTCCTGCTGAGCTGGGAACTGCCAATCTGCACACTGGCAACACTTAAAAATGAAGGAGCCTTTCAGTAGTTCCCCAGGCAGTGGCTTGGTGACCTGGTAGAGTTTGTGCTCCCTTTCCATTACAGCTGGATTCAGGAAGCAGCAATTTCTGGAGGGGTGAAGCAGCAAATCCCTGTCAGGATTTGCTTAGAAATCATCTCATCTATGTGATGAGGAAACTCATTTTTCTGTTGTTTTTGTTACTGGTGTTAAACAGCCCTGGGAGCTGCTGAATGCAGTAATCCTGTCTCATTATATGGTTTTGAGTTGTTACAAACAGTCCAAGAGACACTTTCAAGGTTAAAGTTACAGTAAAAGAAGGGGAATATATGAAAAAGCATTTGGGGGTGGCAGACACAGGCACCTGGCCATGGTCCCAGAGACATCTGGCTGTTGTATTATTTTGTATTATTGCAGTAAATTTTGGAGACTCCCTGAAGGTAGATTAGAGACCCTGGCTGAGGAGTTAGCTCTGTTTGCAATGCAGTGTTTGGTCACTTCATTTCTGATGAATCCTTAGCTGTGGCATAGATGCTGTAACAATTTAGGAAGTAACATGCTTCCTTACATCTGATGTTCTGTGCTGCTTTAAAGAAAAACATCATCTTTTTTATTTCTGATTGTGTTATTTAAATCTTGCCATTGTTTGACATAATTTTTGTCTCATTTCTTTATTAATTTCTTCTTGTGAATCCATCATGAGGGCTGAAGCACCTCAGCCATCTCTAAAAGTCAGAAATTGCTGAAGCTGCTTTTATTGACAGTTCATTAAGACAATGCTGAGGGGGAGCCTCCCTTGCCTGCAGCCTGCCTTTGTCTCCTACCCCTTTTCTTTCTGAATTTTCATTTTAAGTTATTTTCTTCTTGGCCATGATTTTATTGCACAAAACCAACAGCCCCATTCAGCTGGAGTGTCCTTGAGCTGTGCTGTTTGCTGAGTAGTTTCAACAGGGCATGGAAAATGTTGGGTTTTGCTGTTAACTGTTACAAAGTGTGGGTCTGAATATGTTTTGTTTTTTTTTTTTTGTAGCTGCTAAACAAACCAGAAAACTGCTGTGGGCTGAAGGAAAGTCAAATCCTTTCTCTGCTTAGTGACATTGGTATGTAGTTAATGCTTTCTTTTTGTTTGTTTTTTGGTTTGTTTCTTTTTTAAGTGTAGTGGCATTTTTGTTTTCAGCTGACCATGAAAAGGGAACTAAAATGAACAGAGTATTTAAAAAATCAGGCCCTTGGGAAGTACCTGTTTTTTTGGACATCATGGGAAGGAAGAGCTGTCTGATAAAGGGGAATGCCTGTGTTTCTCCAGGAAAAAGATTTTCCAGGAAAGCTCCTTGTTTTCTTAATTCTCTTACAGATAACCTGTCATTGTCTGTAGGAAGAGCTGGTTTTGGCATGAGAAAGTATTTCAGGGTATTAGCCTGGACTTTCAGTGCTCAAGAGGGCTTCCAGCTGAATTCCTGAAATAAAAAGCAACTCTGCTTGCTTTATCCTTGTTCCCCTTCGAGAATGTTTTAGGTTTTGTTTTTTTCATAATAAGTTGAGTGTCTTTGGCATGTCTTTGCGAAGATGTGAAAATGCAGTGGAAAAGAAACACAAGTTTGGAAGCTGTTTAATGTAGAAATGAGTGGTGGTAAATCATGGAAGGCTGGGAATTTGCCCCCCAGTGTTAGGTTTTCATCAGATTTATGTTTAATTAATGTAGATTTTATTTTGAGTAAAATCAAATACGTGTCTTCCAGGGTCTGGTATCCAGTATTTGCATGAGAACAGAATTATACACAGAGATTTAAAGCCTGAAAATATTGTTCTTCAGGATGAAGGTGGGAAGGTAAGTCAAGTGTGTTTTCATTGTCATTTCTGGAAGTTGTCACATTGAACTGGACTGAAAACTGAACTGTGTATTTACTGAAAGCTTTAACACTGTTGCTGAAGCTTTGCCATGGACTTTCTCCAGAATTCCCACTCTGGCTTTCCTCATGAGAGTATTCTGTGCCTGTCACTGAGCAGTTTTTGGGTTGTTTGGTGGTTTTTTCCCCTCAGCATTTTCTCTTCTGATGAACTGTTAAAACTGTTTGCAGATTGTTCACAAAATAATAGACCTGGGATATGCAAAGGATCTGGATCAAGGAAGTTTATGCACTTCATTTGTTGGAACATTGCAATATCTGGTAAGACTTTTTTAGTGTCACCAGCACTGGGGCAGGGCAGCTGTGGCTTGGCACTGCCAAGGGCTGAAACCTCCGAAAATGGAGATCCTGGGACCTGTCCCAAGGGTGTCTCTTCTCAGGGAGCCACACCTGGATGCAGCTTTGCCTCTGCAGAAATGCAAGGAAGCACCACAGTCAAAGTGTCTTTTTATGATCGTTTTTAGGCTCCAGAACTCTTTGAGAACAAATCCTACTCAGTTACTGTTGATTACTGGAGCTTTGGGACAATGGTGTTTGAATGCATTGCAGGATTTAGACCTTTCTTACATAATCTGCAGCCATTTGCCTGGTAAGACCCTAATTCTGGAAGAGGTGCTTGGAAGGGCTAATACTTAAACCTGTCTGAAAGACTTTAACCTGCATATGGAGGTTTCTGCTTGTCTTGCTCTGCCTGGAGTGTTTGTTTGCTTGGTTCTTAAAAGGGTGGCTCTGTAACAGAAAAAAATAGGAAACTTGGGTTTCTGTTAGAACAAGAGAAAAGGTGAATCTTTCCAGAGGCAGTGTTTATTGGAAGGGCTCCTCTCTTTCACATGGAGATTTTCTGGGTGGATTGAAGAATGCATCTTTGTCCTGAAAGATGAGTTTGTTTTCTGAAGCTGCTGGACACTGGCCTCTTCCTGCTGTCTTCAGTTGCTCCCTTACAAAGCTAACACTCCTCAGCATATACACAGAGGATTTTATTTCCCAGGCATGAAAAGATTAAGAAGAAAGACCCAAAGCACATCTTTGCCTCAGAGGAGATGAACGGGGAGGTTCGCTTCAGCACCCACCTGCCACAGCCTCACAGCCTCTGCAGGTACGTGTGTCCTCACCACAGGGGACACTTCTGGCCTTCCAAACTGAGGCCTCTTCCTCCTTTATCCAAGCTTGAGAGCTCCTCCTCCTTTCTCCAGGGTGTTTCAAGCTCCTGGCAAGCTGCTGTTTGCTGTTAAGGGACAGCCTGTAGTTCTTTTTTGGGTGCTTTGGGCTCTCTGGTGCCCATTGCCCACAAAGATGGTCCGAGCACACAAGGAGAGGTCCTGCTTCAGCCTGGTGAAGGCCTCCCCTCTCTTACAGCCCTTCTGCTTTAGTTTGATTGTAGAACCCATGGAAAACTGGTTGCAGCTGATGCTGAACTGGGATCCACAGCAGAGGGGTGGAGGTTCAGATCCTGAGAGCATTCGTCCGAGGTGTTTCCTGCTCATGGATCACATACTGAATCTGAAGGTGAGTGGGGGCTCTTACTGGGTGTAAAGGCCTTCTGAAAGCATCCCACAGGACAGAGAGTGTTCAGTGGAGCAAAGCTGTAATTCTGGCATCACCCAGCTTCCAGGCTCAGGAGGAATTGTTCTTCCTGGTGTCAGGAAGTGAGTGCCTACACAGCATGATCAGTACATACTGGAAGACAAAACAACTCCTGCAATATTAATCTCTAGCTTTACATTTGGAGTAAAAGGATGACCCTGTATTACTGTTTGTTATCATGGAAAGGGCTCACCAGGATCAAATAAGGTTTAATATTTGCTAATAACAGTTTTCCCAGACCTCTCTGTTGATGCTGTGACCTCTGGGTGTATTCGTGTGCTATAGTAGTAATGCCTGTAGTAGAACAGAGGTGCAGTTTAGTAGAACAGATTTTTCCTCTTCAAACAATTACTTGAGCTTTGCTGGAGTCAGACTAGCCAAGACCAGCCTGTGTAGAAACAGGAGGATAATTTTGTCTCAGTTCTTTTGATGTAATTAAACTGCAGCAGGGTTTGTGAAGGGTCTTTGTGGGTTGGATTGTTGATTTGTCTGACTTTAAGTTACAGGCCTAGGCTTTGAGTTTTTTATGTGGGGCTTTACTCCTGAACTGACTATTGTGATTATTAAAACCAAATTACACTCTCATTCTGCTCTGTGCTCCATCCCAGGCTTGTGTGCCTTTGTCTTTGATATCCAAGGATTTGTAATCTACTTGTCCTCTTTTTACAGATAGTACACATCCTAAACATGACCTCTGCCAAGATTGTGTCCTTCCTTTTGCATCCTGAGGAAAGCCTTCACTCCCTTCAGAATCGTATTGAGTTTGAGACTGGAATAAGCACAGGAAATCAGGAGCTGCTGTTGGAAACAGGGATTTGCCTGGACCCTAGGAAACCTGCTTCCCAGTGTGTTATTGATGGTGTGGTAAGGAGGAGTCTGTTCATGGCTTCCATGTTCTCACAGAATTTAAAATCTTAGGGAAGATAAATGGCCTAAATCTTCTCCCACAGGAGACAGTTTGCTTTGTATATGTAATAATTCTAAAAATCTTTTATTGGGTAATGTAAGCAGGTTTCTGTAGTTGTACTCTGCCTAAATATTTAATTAATTGCTAGCAGAGAGTTCTGTCTTCCTGTAGGATCTATCAAAATAAGTTTTTAAAGAGAGTGCCCACAATAATTAGTTCATGATGTACTGGGTTAGTAGGAGCTGCTTGGGGTTTCTCTTGCTTATATTCTCTTCTCTTTTCTTCCAGAGAGGCTGGGACAGCTACATGGTCTACTTGTTTGACAAAAGCAAAACTGTCTATGATGGCCCCTTTGCTTCTCGGAGTCTGTCTGACTGTGTCAACTACATTGGTGAGTGTGCTGAAAAGCGCTGTTCTCATGCTAAATGAAATGAAATCTGCTTTATAAACCCCTGTGTGTTGTCTTGAAGGGCTCTGTCTGATTCAGAGAGAGCCATGTAAGAGCCTGAAGCAGCCTAATTTGTGTCCTGATGACAGAGTTTGGACTTTTAGGCTGTGTATGGAAGCTGCTTCTCTGCTTGCTGCTTCCCCTGCTTGTCTGCTGAGATGACAGCTGTCACTGCACAACCTAACAGATCTCTCTGAAAGTTTATTTATTATAAATCTGTATCTGTATGAATGACCCTGTGTACCTCTATGAAAGAAAAGTAGTGTCAGGGGACAGGAGATGTCTGCGGATACTGCATGTAAAGAAAATGCCTTGTGACAGTTAAGTAACTTAATTTAAGTTGCGATTCAGTAACCTAATTTTCTTTGGCCTATCTCCACTGATTTTCCTCATCTTCTAGTGTCACTCAGGTTTTTGTGTGTTCTGGGCTGTTTTATTCTGGTTC